CCGTGAGCTCGCCCGGCCCCCAGCCCAGCCCAAGCCGGGAGAAAACGCTCCCCCCTTCGCCTGGCGGCGTCGGTCGGGGTGAAAATGATCTTTTTTTCCTCCCGCCGCCCTCCCTTTGCGTTGAAGACGCGCTCGGGGTTATCTGTTGTTATTCACAATACAATCGGCTGCGAGGTGGGAAATGGAAAAATTACCCGTTTTCACAAGTCTGGTGTGTTGGCGGGATTCAGTTAAAATATCGATCGACCTACGGGATGGTAAATCGCTGTTAAATCGTTGTCAAACACATTAAAAACGGAGTGATGCAATCTCTGAGGACCTTAATGTGGGCAAGGAAATAGAATCCTTCTCTGAAAGACCCGAATAAAATGGTCCGTTGTGAATAATCCAGGGATTTAGAGCCATAAAATAAGCAAAACTAATTCTTCGCTAAATTTAGGATTTGCAGGACAATCCAGGAAAGTAGCCTTTGGCGGTAGCTTATACTCAGGGCAAGATGTTAACTGTCAAGTAATGGGATCAAGCCTCAGGCATCTGAATTAGCTGTGAAAGTCTTCAAACCTAGCTAAAAAAAAAAAAAACCAACCAAAAAAACCCCCCAAAACAAAACAAAAACCCTCCAAGAGAAGGATAAAGAGTAAACGGACAATATTGTCAAAAGGACCTTAAACTTTTTACAGCACAAAGCTGACAGAATTTACATCTACAAATGCATTTATGCTGTACTTAGAATCGAGGTTTTATAGGTTTGGAGAAGTGAGTCAATACCCTTCAAAAGTCTTTTTTAAAGGGGACGATATGGAGGAGGAATCAATTTAAATATGATAATTGTATCGCTTGGAGCACTGACAGCATTGAAGCTATTGGAGAATAGTGCCCTGTAATCTCTCAAGTCGTGTTTTTTGCATTTCAGACTGTGCCTTTAATGTTCTGTTACTTTTGTCTTGAGCAGGTGGTATGATTTTGTCAACTGATTGCCTGATACGGTTTTCCATTAGTCCCGCAGATCTATGGGTTGGGTAAGAGCTAATAGGCCACATTCCTATGAGTTTCATGAGGAAGTACTTTTCATGAGAAGTACCTTATACTTGTGAAAACCTTTGAAGCTCTGGGAAGTAAATTTATTTTTTAAATGGTGTGCTGGAAGGTGCTGATTGACAGCCCTGGCGATAGAAAATCTCTAGGTGTCCACGCAGCAGTTTCAGCATGAACAGCAGCACTTTAAGCCCGTTCCCTGTACCCTGCCTGATCATACCCTTGAATTGATTAGATCACTTCTTAGGTCCACAGCTGCTAATTCAGCTGTGTGACCATTAACATGGTCGAGACAGGCCGGGAGGTAGAGGAGATGCGGTGTGTAGTACTGATGTTAGGCAAGAATGTATGCATGAACGAATTGCATTTCTATCTGGAGCTGTCTGTGGCCTCATCCTGCCGTGTACAGCATTTCTGGGGTTCACCATGCCCTGGGTCCACAGCTCTGTGCAGTGCTCTCAGCACAGGGTAGCGCTGTAGCGCAGCAGCTCTGCCGCGTTACTTCTGAGGGGTGAATTTTACTCCTGTACCTTGATTTCTTGCCTTAATAGAGATGTGCTTCCACGTTACCAAATCCGGATATCTCTTTGTAGCACATTGTAATTTTTACAAGAAACTTATCTTTGGACTTCTCTAATGATAAAGTAAAATCTCTCTAGAGTCTCATTCCCCCAACTTTCAGAGTTGGTAACTCACACAAGCTGGTGTTGAAAAAGAATTGATTATTCAAAGCTCTTGTGCTTCATAATCTACTTAAAACATGTAGATTGACTGTCTCATCAGAAAAGCTCTAAATTTTACTTCGCTATATAGCCCATTGGGTCATGTGCTTAAGGCCAGGAGACCTCTGGCTAGTAACTTACAGACTGTATGCCCCTCCAATTACAGGTTATTAATTTGCCTTACATTCAGGAGACAGTTCCACATGAGTGAAAAGGAATACCATATTGCCGAGTTCTTCATTACCTACTCTGTCTGTACCACAGCAAAATAAGAATAATACTGATTTCTTTCTTCCTTTTTTCTCCTTTTTTTTTTTTTTTCTTTCCCCCCTCTGGTCTGTGGAAGATGTTTTACAGTTTTAATGCAGCTGTTTTAAGTGTGACTGTTCCTGTTCAAGGGCAGCTGATGTACTTTGTAATGCCATTGAACAGCCAACAAGCTATGTTCCCCTATTGTGTTGAAGTGATAGGTATGTTTGCTAATCAAGAGGAGAGCAGAGCTTGCTGTCTGACTTGTTTATGTTTTATTTCTCACCATCAAGCTTTAGAGGGAGGCACAGAAAATATGTAAGCATCTATATTATTCAGTGATGTATATATGTACATGAGCGTGCAAACAATCTGAAGTGTATTGCTGATATCTTCTAGTCAGTCATCACTGAAATTAGCAAGGTGTCAGGGTTACCACATATCCCCAGTATGACTCAAAATACCCCAAACTTGGCATTAATTGTCACTGCATTTTCTTTTTCTTTTCTTTTTTTTTTTTTTTTTTTTTTTTTTTTTTTTTTTTTTTTTTTTTTTTTTTTTTTTTTTTTTTTTTTCCCCTCTTGTGAATGCTTCGGGTTTGTTCCAAAGTAGTGACAAAAGTGGAGGATTTCCATCATCAGAGTTCACCGAAGGCCTATGGGAAGTGATCAGACAGAGGAGATGCTGCTTGGTTCCCATACCAATTGCTTTTTAATTTTCTTGTAGGCTGTAGTGTTTCTCCTTCCCATATGCAGGATGGAAGCAGGTTGGCCCCTGGCACTGGAGAATCTTCTACAGTCTGCTGGAAGTTCAACAGCACGGTATATCCACTTATTTCTCTGTGCTGTTCCTGGGGCTTTCAGCCTCTGCCCTGATTCCCTGTTCATCTCACAGGGATGTCAGCTCCAGCAGAATCCTACCTTAGTGCAGTTTTACTCAATTCCTTTCCAAAACTTTCTTTAAGCATTCTGAAAATGTTTCAAAAAACCTATGTAATTTGGCATCTTATATCCATGTTAACGATTCCGGTAGGAATCGTGACAAAATCAAGACAAAAAGTTTAGTGCTGCAGCCAGAAATTCAAGACTGCTAGGAAAATTCCACTGGTCTTTCTATGGAATATATTTTGGGGAAAGAGAAGCGGGGAATGTGTTTTAGTTTTCTTCCTACCAGGATGTCTTGTTTTTTTTATTAATTCTTGTAACCTGGAGAGTAGGGAGAACTGCCCTGCAAAAAGCACTGAAATTCTCCTGTTATCCCCTCTATGCCTGCCTGCAGCTCAGGTCTTAGATAAGTATCATGTCTAATAACATTTCTGCCTGCTGCTGCACTATTGGATAGTTAATTCTATGAATCCTGTTTTTAACTGAATGCCTAGTTTTGCATTGTCATTTTGCTCTCTGTCAAGTGTCTGGTTTTATTCAATTCCTTTTTTCTTTTAGCAGATGGAGAATATTTAAAAAAGAGTTAAGGGAAGTAATAATGTGAAGTGGGTATCCTCAATTAATACACCGATCTGTTTTCTAATTAATTCCCTGTGGTTTTCCTCCCTTTTTGCTGGTACACTGAATCCTGACTGCAATTCTTTAAACTTAGTAATTTGATTATTTAAAGGAGAAGCAATGGATTTCACGATGAAGGTGTCAGTCTTTAGGAAATGTTAAATTTCAAGAAGCAAATGGATTCTATTATAGTGGTTTAAAACCTGCTTGTACCCAGGGTATAAATGTGCACTGCTAATAATATACACTACTAAAATACAGGCACATTCCTGTCAGCTAGTCCTAAAGCGAATTGCATTGTTAGAAATCTGATGCATACGCTCTCCTACAAGCACTTGTTGTTGTATTTTTGTATGCAGATGCGATGGCAGGGTGAGTATCAAAACATCAACATTCCATGATGTGGATTTATGTAGCATTTTTTATCGCTTGCTTCCAGCAGAGGCAACAGTGTATTAGACATACTGTACAAATAAAGAGAAGGGACTCTTCTTGCTTCTTGAAAATTGTTTTGGCTGTTTCTTTGAGAAGTAGCTTGAGGTGATTTTACTGACCTTTCTCTGCGGTTATTTGACACTAAACCCAACACGTTGCAAGAGTCCTCAGAAAATTTATAGTCACTCTTGTTGAACCTAATCATTTATTTCTTCTGTGAAAAAAAAAAAAAATTACAAGATACACATGTATTTTCTATACATATTGAAATATTTTACTTTATGAAGGCTATAGTGAAAATATGCAGGATACCTCCTTGCCACTGTGTCCCATTAAATAGAATTTTAAAAGCTGCATAGTAATCATAATCCCAGTCAGCATCTTGCTGATGTTCTCTCTTGCCCTAAAGAGAAATAATAATAGAGGAAAGAGAACTTTTATCTCTAAAATTAGGGAGTCATCAATGCAGTAATTACAGTAGTTGAAATACATTTCGGAAATTTATTTTCAGTTATAAAAGCTTCCAGCCTTTGGGCAAATTGAAGAAATACTGTATCTAGCCTGCTGTGGTGGAACCATTATCATCTGCTGAGTTAAATATGGAGTACTACAGAAATTCCTTTCCTGTCTTAGGATTTCTTTTACACAACTTGGGTCATTATTTTTGCATTTTGATAAGATTGTGTCACACACTCCATGGTGACATCAGCCCAGTATGGCTGAGAGAAAAAGTATTTTGCAAGATTATGTAGGCATCAGTTTTTACCAAATACTTTGCTTTAGTCCTGCAGTTCCTTATGAGTTTGGGGGTTCCATGAGAACACAGTAAATAAGCAAAAGTCAACATTAGCTCCTCTCTCCAAAGTCTGTCAATCATGAACGGGAATAACATTTTGTAGTTTTAGTTCCTGTAGCAGTCTAACCAGAACAAGTAGCGTGTATCCTCCTTAATTCCAGACTCAGCATACAAAATAAATGTCATCTTTTTAATCCTTTGCAGTCCCAGACAACCTTGTTATGAAGATCCTGGCACCACGCCTAAGCGCACTGGACTGCATGACCAATGGTTGGGTGCTTTATGGCTTCCCAAGAGACGTAAAGCAGGGAAAAGAGCTGCAAAAATCATATATTAATCCAAACAGGTAAGATAAGAATTTAGCAATCACAATGTTACATATATGAAAAATTTGTTTGTGGAAAGATACAGATCTTTATAGACATTGTATAGGCTGTTGCATCTTATTTATTTATTGCTTCCTTAGCTAGAAAAGGGTCTTTCTCCTGGAGAGTAGGAAATAGAGCATTGGCCTTACAAATCCTCCAGATGGCCAAACTGTGGGAGAGAGAAGACGTTTGTTCTTCTGGTTATTTGTTTGAGTTGTCTCTAAAGGCAAACCATAAGAAATGGATTAAAGTTTGGATTATATCAGAAGGTGTATTTTATTTGCAGCAGGAGGGGGGATCTACATCTTCTTTCTTTAGTGTTGGCATAATATCATGGAACTTTATTAGTATTGTGAGGAGCTCATTATGAGACTTTTGGGTTTTGTGAAATAATTAAAAACAACATGAGAATTATATTTTATTTGAGCTATAATGAAGTGTTCAGAAATGTAATATAAGAGAAATGAGCATCAAAAGAGAACTGTTATGACTGCCAGGCAAATAAAATGGAGTTACTCTACAGCTGGTCCAAAGATGGTGAGGATTTGAAATGCTGGTGTGCTCATCAGAGCTGAGGGGCTTCTCCATTCCCCTCCAGGGATTCCTGGTTCAGTCCATACCGCTGGCTGACAGAGTGGCCATTCCAAGAGCATATAATGTTGTAAGTTTGTAGTCTTTATGCTTCCAGGAAGCTTATTGTTACCTAAAAACTGGTAGTGGGAAAGGTATATTGCCCACATAAGTGTTTTAAGTTGGCAAAGTTATTCTTCCTGTGTCTTCTGTGTGGCTGCCTTCAATCCCCTCCCCACTCCTGTACAGGGGGCAGTGAAAAGATGTAAAAGGGCAGTATTAAGGAGGGCAGAGGAAAGAGGAGAATGAAAAGGAAGAGAGCTAGCAGTCATGCCATGTTTAAAAATGAAGGTATGTGAAAAGAGCAGTAGCTGTATTAAAAGTAAGGCAAAATACATCTTAAACAGCAATCTTTCATCAAAAAAGGGAGAAAGAATCTTGAAACTTATGCTAAATTCAGCTAAATAACATTTCCCACGACTTATTCTTCATGTGCATATAGAAGGTAGATCCTGAGTCCCTAAACATGTATCCGAGTGCCTGAGATCAGTGTGAATACTCAACTGTGTGCTCCTCTACAGGATTGAGACCTCATCAAGTGAGGAAGAACAACTCGTTATAAAATTGTGTGTGCGGAAATTTGGCACTGATCCATTTGCTCAGCTTCCATTTTCTTTAAAGACCTCTGCACATTCGTATCTGAGTTAAGAATTTGGCCCCTACTCTTTTATACAGGGGTTGAAGTAAGGGACAAAAGCAGACATCATGCTACCTGATTGATTTTGGAGCTGATATTTTCCATGAAACTGAAGTAGTAGGTATATAAGGGAGAGAGGGTGATTATAAACAAAAGGACATATTGCAGCATAGGATAGCAGGGCAGTAATTCAGTTTCAGGTGTGATGCTAGTTATAAAACACTATCTGCAGAGGTGGTGTTTCTGACATCAGGAGAAAAACCTGATAGAATTATGGCCTTGAAATCAATCTGGGAATAGGATGCAGAAATCCATAAATCAGACACAGAACAATCTACAAAGTCTCATTTTTAGGAGGGCTCTGTTGATGAAATTAGATTAAAATAAATTTACATATATATCAAGTTTATTATTAAAATCTAGTCACATCAGTAAACAAAATTATTTGTGAAAGAGTATGTTACTCTGTGTTTTGAACTCAAAGTAGACCTCTTTGGCTGATCAGAACACAGAGTTATTGTCTGCTTGTCAAGTCACAAATCTATTCCTTAGAGCTAATAAATGGTTAGTGTTCAAATACTATGTTTTATCTGACTCCCACCTCATAAAGCTAGTACACATAATACTAAATTATACAGCATTGAGCAGGATCAGTCTCCTGACTCCTCCATCTTACAGAAAGCAAAACAAACCTAGTAATTGATGGTAGAAAAGAAGGAAAATAAAGTTATTTGAAAACAAACAAAATGGGCTATAAAGTTTGTTAAAACATAATAATAAAAAAAACCTCATACAGCATCAGCCACTGCATCCAAAGAACTGCCCTGGAACAAAAAAGAAAATAATTCATTTTCCACTGAAAAAGTAAGGTACAGGGTTTTCTTTAAATTACAATTTGCAGTAGAGCGAAGGCTTACAGCCTGCTACAGGAAGACCTGCCTGTATCAGACAAAACCTGTCTACCAAAGCACTGCTCTTTCCGTACTCGGAGAAGACATGTATTGCTTTCTGTGTTCCTCCCTGTGAAGCAGTTTCTGCTTAAGTGGACAGGATCCTAATCGCATTGAACTGTGGCAGCCTTTAGGGCAAATAAGAAGCTGAATCTATTAGTGGTCTCTCAGCTATCTAGTAAAAGAACACCATTAACCACTTAGTGCCTACGGTAAGTGGGAATCCAAATACAATTACAGGTTGGTGTCTGAGGCTCAGAACTACTAACGCAAAGGACTGAATTCAGTTCCTCATCCAAATGAGTGTAAAAAAGTATTTTAGCCTTTTTTTTTTTTTAATTGTTAATGCTTGAGCAACAATAAGAAATATAGTATAGCCATGGATAGTTCTAATATACCGAAAACTCTATTTAATATCGACTGAAATATTTCTTGTCCTCTTCTGCTCTAACTCAAACTTACAGTTAAAATAAAATTCAGCAGCGACAGTGTCATCTGTTATATATCTCTTGTCATTAGCTTCAGCTGGTTCATGACCAGCTGTCTGCTGGTTCCAGGCCAGCTTAAGGCAATCAGCAGTTTAAGGATTCCCTGAGCCAGAGGGTCATCTGGACAACTGTCTAATAGCCCATTTTCTGTGACTTTATAGTCTCTTTTTCAACACTGTACTTTTCACCTCCACCAAATCGTGTGGAAAGGAGTTTCACTTTTTCACTGGGTGTCATATGGCAATACCTCACGGTGTTTTTTCCAGGTTCCTTTCTTGTGTTGAGAAATGGTTATACACATTCCCTGTTCATGTCTTCTAATGCTCCTGATTTTATAAGTCGCTTGTAGATGCCTGTTCAGTCATCTCTTTCCCAGGCAAAGAACATCAGTCTGTTTATCCTTTCATTTCCTAGAAGTCATTTCATTCTTCTGATCATCCTGTCTCCTGTCTTTACCTCCTCTAGTTACTCTAGCTGTTCCTTTGCTGAGATGGAACAACCAGAACTGCGTTCAGTTGTGAGGGTAGCACTGTGTACTGGATGTATATGTATTGCCATAAACATTTTTTTAGTTTTTATCTTAACTCCATTGCTGATATTCTATTAGATGTTACTGGGATAGATTTTGGAAGAATGTCTTGTGTGTGTGGACTATGGTAACTATACAGTGGCTCTTTCACTGAAAATACACTGAAAAATCCCAAAGTGTCACAGATCTCAATTGAGTGTGTACAAAGGAGCCTAAAGACCCTGTAACTCAAGATCTCTCTAGTTAAAATTGTAGCCAGGTTTGTGTTTGAGTTCTCCTGAAGCCGATAAAGCAAGCCCTTCCATCTGTGCCAATGGGCTCTGCTACTAAGAGTGTCCTGGGGTTCCCAGTTCCTCTGTTCCATCATTTCCTTCATTTTTTTTCCGTCTGATGTGAATCCAGGGTCAATTGTTACACATTTCCATATTGATTAATTACACATTTCAGTATTGATTAATTATATGACAGTAGTATCTACAAATGATACAAGTGCACAGAGCTGGGCAGAGGAGGGATGAACTTGAGGACTGACCTAATAATGCATGTATAATATGTTTCAAATATCTATTTTTCCAATATTAAAGTTTTTTCTTTCCCAGTAGAAAAAATTAACAGCACCAGCTCCTCCAGTGCAAGTTTTCCAGCAGTGGTCTTCAAAACGATATGGCTGTATCCCCGATTACGTCATCTTTTTACATAATATATTTAAAGCTTCTTTTTCATCACACTACTAATACTAATACAGGTTCATATTCAAACAGTTTAGGATAATGAAGTTCCTAATTTCTAAGGTAGAATCTGTGAATAAGTTGAAAAGGGAAAAATCGGAATGGAAAAAAAAATATTTTTTTTTTATTTTTTTACTGTTTGGTCTTTACATGGGGCTTTCATATTTCTGCAGCTGATCCCAGTGTGGATTAGGGACAATAAACAGCCTATTAATGGAGGCCTGAACTAGGAAATGGAGTTTGAATCAGCAGCAAAATTCAATGGCTGCCGAAGGTTAATAACTCCATTACTATCAGCTCTATTTTTCAGCCATTTGAAGAGCTAGGTGTTAGCCTTATCTTACTCCTCATTAATTGAGCTAATAGAACCCCAATGACCCTACCATGCTGCCATTATCTGAGAGTTTACCAGACATGGACTAGAATACTTATCACCGAATATGAATTCCTCAGATTCATTTTTATATCAGAAATATTGTTGTTAAAGACTGTCTGTCTTCAGGTTTCTTTTTTGTCTTTTCATTTCCTTGCTGCCTTCTGTAACAGCTACATATTTGGAAATTAAATGTAAATGACTTAATTAAAATCCTATCAAGGAACAAGCTAAGTCCCAAAATAGTTGCATCAAGGAAACATAATAGTGATTGAATTATTCTGACATGGAAAAACCTTACAGGGCATTTTAAAAATTTTGGCCTAATTTAAATGATGGATATTGTATATTTATAATAGATGTGGTTTTAATTGATGGCATACAAAAATCTGATGAGTAACAAAGAAGAAATGTTATAATTATATCTCCTTATTTTCTGCTCGTTTCCAGGGGAAAAAAAAAACAAACCACAACACAAAAAAAAAAAAAAAAAAAACCAACAGAAAAATGATGTGGTAATCAAGGTACTAAATCAGTACAGTAAAATTTGTCTGCACCAGGGAGAGAGAGAAGCAGTAGGAAAATCCTACATATGTAGGACTTGGCTTAATTTATAAATAGAGCAGTAAAAAATAATAGGCAA